GCTTGCTAGTTGACAAATCAACTTGATCAGTTCTCTTAAACTCTGACCACTGACTGTTTCCCAATCCAAGTGAGATCCCTTTGCCTTCACGATTAGAGCTGTACACTCTAGAAATTTTCAAAGGAATGGTTATATAAGCCAGCCTTCACAAAAAGTTTTGACTTCCAACTGTTATTACTAGTGACATCAAAAGGATGCTTACAGAAAACTGCTCTCCCTGAACAGCTTTTTGCCACTACTATAGATACAAGTAAAAAGAAAACAAGGTTTTCTGTGCATCACTGATGTTCTAACAAGTCACCTTAAATCAGGTTTCTCCAAGCCTGAGCCTGATACTGCCAAGTATCACTCCACTCTTTGATCTCAGCTCCATATCTTCCAAAAGCCACTCCTGGAAACTTTCACCTCTTCCTTAGTACAGAAGTGGGTATTAAGCCACAGTTCGGCAGTTACTCTCTACATTAGTACTCTCTATATCCTTGGGTTAGATACTAGAACAAGAATAACTGTAAAGATAAAATAATGTGTTGCACAAGAACTCGAGGGGGCTAACTTCACGACCAAAAAGAAGTTGAGCTTCTCATTAAATGGGTGTGGAACTGGACAAACTTATGACTGTGGCTATATGAAGAAACTGGTTTGGACTCAGCTCATTTCTACCACGTCCACCCACCTAGTCATTTCTGAAAGAGATGCTATTACTAATGACGTACCAGCAAGGACTAGGCCTAAAAACATATGAATCAAGGTGTCAGCAGCAAATACATATATATCCTTTTGCAGGGCTAAACCCTGTTTCAGAAGGGAAGAAGCAAGTCTGTTACCAAGCTGGCTTCAGGAAAAAGCTGGGATTTCAGACAAACATTTCACAGGAGTTCTCCCTATTCAGGCATATTAAAGGTAGAAAAGTCAGAGAAAGTCAGCTTTTGTACGTGAGTGTTATGCATGGAGGATGACACACAGAGCCACGAAAGCATCACTGCCAACCTGCTTCAAACACAGTGGAGCAATACAGGCACCCCAACTCGCAGACCACACAATGACCCACAGAATCCGGATCTAGGCTGAAAGTGAAGTATCCCACACAAAGTATTTCTAAGATGTGGCACATTATCACATAGGCTGAAATCATCCAACCATTCTAAAAGTCAACAGCATTTCCCCAGAGGGGAAAAAAAGCTACCTCCACATATATACAGGACAACCAAATCATTTGGTTATCCAGACAAAAGAGGTATTTTGTCAACTATGTAACAACAATATCATCTTATGCAGGATTGGCACGACAAATTTTTTTCAGCTATTGAGGGGCATATAATACAGTAAACATTTTCATGATCTGGTGAAATAAACGATGACAGTTAAGATCTTTCTCAAGGAAAAGAAGTAATACCTCTTTAGATCAAAAGAGTGCAGTGGAAAGGCAAGGGAGTGATATGGTTTGCCTCATTCAACCCACTTTGGAAAAGAGAATCATTAAGCAGAACACAGGATATTCCAGTGAAGAAGGTGGAAAGCACAAGAGGAAACAAGCTACTTTTAATACAACTCCAATTATTTAATGAACTCCTTACCACAGGATGAGCTTCTAATAACATGTCGAAACTGGGTTTTGCTCAAACAGTTGCTGAGCTACGAACTGCAGGAAGAGTGCTCAGAGAAGTATCATATGAAGAGAGCAAGTGTTTAACTCTTCCCCTGACATCTGCTTTCGGCCACCAGTATGGACAAAACACTGAGACAAACATAACTTTTTGTTCATGCCTAGCATAGTTGCCTTTTTTTTTTTTTTTTTTTTTGTAGTTATAAGCAGGCTAGTTTTCATTGAAATAAACTGAATACAAAAGCTATGCATACATTAATACGGCCACTTAATTTCTTTCCTTTTTTGTGTTTTAATTCACTCAATCACTTCCAAGTGTAGAATCTGCTTCGTGGGTGCTGTTGGACAATATCCAAAGCTTGCACTGGTACCAGAGACTCAAATATCCTGCAATCCACACAGCAGTTGACACAGCACTAAGTTTTCCACTTTCCAAGCACATCTAATTCTGTAAAAGAAACCCTCGAATCACTTGCAAAGGAAAAGCTGAACACCACACATCCTGAAAGACAACCAGAACTTCAAGAGATGCTCTGCTAGAATAACAGTCCAGCTGGAGAACGAAAGGAAAACGATCCTTTGTTCAACCTCTTTCTGCTTGCAAGAGAGGTCTATAACACCCTGATATGGCCTCCGTACTAATTCCTGCTAAGCAAAGCAGGTCAGTTTTAGCCAGCACACTACCTGACATTTCAACATGGAGCTGAAAAGTTGATTCCCCTTTACTCAAATCACTTGACAATTCAGATAACCCAGACAATAAAAATGTGAATAACACTGTTGCTTCAACATCATGTGGCCATGCACATTTTATCTAGAAGTGAATAATGCACAGATGGTTCCAGCTTCTAGGAACAGCTTCAGGTCTAACCCCAGCTTTTAAAATAATTGACTACAGATATTTCAATTCTCACCTTAACCCAGTTTATACACGTGCCAAGGATTCTGAACACTCTCAAAAGTCATCCCTTTTACAGTCCTTCTACCATGAGAAAGGATATAAGAGTGATTTTGAAATTAGAAACCTCAAAAAGTTCAATGGAAGCCTGACCTTAGTACTTTTTACAAGAAACTAGAACTGGAGAAGTTGTCCTTCCCTATTACAGTAAAAGTAACTTAACAGCCTGGCACTGCTGCCAAAAATGACCTCTGAAAAAAAACAGACTGAGCTGAGTGGGGAGAAGTACCTGGGGGAGGGGGGAAAGAAAAAAATAAAATCTATCTATCCCTAAAATTGGGAAATGACAAAGAAATTAGAAGAATTCCTCTTTAACAAATCTCAAGATCAGAAACGAAACTCTACTAAAAGAGTTTAGCTTTAAGAGGTTTGAAAAAAGCAGTTTAAAATATGACATATTGTACTCTGAACCTCCCGTTCCCCTAGTGAAGGCCACACAATTCACAGCTAGGTACAGCTCATAAACATGAGCTATCAGCCAAAACACAGCTTCGTACACAGTAGATTTCTATGCTCAAAACCAAAGAAGTTTTATTTTCCTTTTTGCCAACAAAGGAGATGAAATCAACACACTGCATTATTGGTAGATGAACACTGCCTAAAATCAGTTGCATTCAAATAACATGCTTGCTTACAGGCCTTTCCAAAATACAGGACCTCAAGATCTCTGTGATAAGAAATCTGCCTAATACTATTACATGTCAAATCCACTTGGATCAGACATGACCTGATTTGAGATAAAATAGTTATCTAAGTCTCTAAATCTAGAAAAACAGATACAGGAATTTGTTAGGTACAAGAACTTCACCTGCTGTTTTCCTTAATGCTACAAGGAATCACCTTCCACTGCTATTACAGTAACATCTTATTGACGCTATCAACTTTCGAAGTCTTACCCCCTTAAGTTTTGTCCCCTTTCTTCCCTAATGAAAGTAGAAGTTACCACTGCAGCTTCAGCACTACAGTCTGTACTAGCATGGAAGTTACAACCTGAGATCTCAGAGTTTTAAGGGAAGCAGCAAGGTCTCAGTTGAAGACTAAATCCAAAACAAGCAGAACAGAGTCAAGCCTTCCAAAACATTGAGAACTTCAGGTGCACACACGCAGTTGGTACCAGCATTACTGTTCCATGGTTCACCCAAATTAAGTCCATCTCTGAGCCCCAGAAGTTCACTATATTTTAAACTCCACTTGCATAAGGCCATGCTTCACGGGTAGAGCTCAGGGATGAGAGAAGGAAAAGGAAATAGCTCGGGACCAAAAGTTCCCTTAGGGGCATTGTGAAATGCCACTTGTACTTTGAAAACAAATGAAAACAAACCCATACAACCTCAGAGAGCATTATCTGACTGATAAATTGTACAGTACCATTTAGATTCCAGGCAACATCACGCCATAAAATGTTCCATTTTGTTATTGATTTCAACACAGTGTTTTAGACGCCTATGCCAGCATTTAAGTACTGACCACTCAATACAGTCTTATTACCTTAATTTATGTGTACTGCTGCACCACTTAAAGCTCAAACAATATCTGTGCGCTTCAGTACATAAGGTCTCGCCCTGTGGCACACATCAGAAAGCCCTCAGCCCGACCACAGACCTAGTAGTTGTACAAGTCCTGAGTTAGGGCTGATGATTTAAAACACCCTCCTCGGTTTACTTTTATTGTGAACTCTGTGTGCCTTGTCCTCTCAGTGAAGATCATGCACCTTGTAAAAAACGTTCTTTTTATGAATTACATTAACCTGTAACAGCTTTACTTGACAACTGGTAATATTTACTTCCCGGTAACCTACGCTGTTGGACATCACTGTTTAAACTGCTTTTATGACATTAATTCTGATCACAATAACTTTTCTGCACAAAGAGGCATATTATTTTCTGGACACATCTGTAACTTTTACTAAGTTCAATTGTTCCACTTCATCTCTCTCCCCAGCCCACTCGGGCCACTAGATATGCAGAGATCAATCAGCAGCTATACCCAAATGGAAGGAAAACAAGTTACAAAGTACAAGACATCAAAACTTCCTACCAAATCCACGTGCATCGCAGGGGTCCCTGAGCTGCTAAAACATATATGAAACCCTTACTTGGAGTCAACTCTGTCCTGGATTTGTTCCTCACTTCCTAAACCCACGTGCACAAGTTTGCAGCAGCCCGCGTGTCAAACACAGAGAACACCGTCCACACTTTTAAACCATATGGTCTCTTTACGTCTCCAAGATCTCCCCCTCCAAAGGAAGGAGATTTAACAGCCACCCCCCCGCAGCCCGTAGCGAAACGCCGTCGGGGCAGCGAGTGTGTACGCTCACACTCTTCTCCCAGCTCAGGCTTGCGCTCTCCCAACAGTCCTGGGGAACCAGGTCGCGCCGGGCCCTCCCCGTCCCGCCCGCTGTCACGGCCCCGGCCCGGCGCGGGAGGCCCCGGTACCCACCCGCGGCGAAGTGGAGCGGCGTGGACTTGCGCCCGGCCATGTCCTTGGCGTTCACGTTGCCCGTGTCCACCAGGCGCTTCACGCGCGTCACGTCCCCATTCCTGCAGGCCTCCAGCAGCTCGCGGAACGCGCCGCTCGCCGCGCCAGGGCCCGCCGCCTCGGGGCTCTCCGCCGCCGGGCTCGACGCCGCCGACGACGACGCGGACGAGGAGGAGGAGGACGAGGAGGAGCCGCTGGAGCTGCTGCCCGAGCCCGGCGGCGGGCCCGGCACGGCGGCGCCCGCGCCCTCCGAGCACTCCGCGGCCGGAGGCCGGTCCGCGTCCGGGGGCGCTTCGCCCTCGGGGCCGGCCAGACTGTGGCGCTGCGCGGCCGGCGCCAGGCTGGGGCTGCGCGGCGGCGAGGCGGCGGCGGGTGGCGGGGAGGCCGGCCCGGGCGGCGGCGGCGGGTGGTGGTGATGGTGGTGGTGCTGGGAGCGACGCGGCGGCACCGCCGCCATCTTCGCGCCGCCCCGCCCCGCCCGCCCCGTCACTGCGGCAACGGCACCGCCCCGCCCGCGCTTCCGCCCCGCCGCCAACCGCGAGCGCCGCGCGCGGACGTGACGCCCGCGCGGGGCCCCTGGGGCGGGGGCGCGGTGGTGGCGGTGGCACCGCCCCGCGAGGGCCGCGCCTGCGCCTGCCGGGCACTGCCGGGCACTGCCGATAGTGCTGCCTCTGCCGGGCGCTGCTATCCCTGCCGGGCACTACCGTCCCTGCTGGATACTGCTGGTCCTGCCGGCCACTGCCGGTCCCTGCCGGGCACAGCTATCCCTGCCGGGCACTGCCGGCCCCTGCCAGTCCTGCTGGGCACTGCTGGCCCCTGCCGGGCACTGCCGTCCCTGCCGGGCATTGCTATCCCTGCCGGACACTGCTGGTCCTGCCGGACACTGCTGGTCCTGCCGGACACTGCTGGTCCTGTCGGCCGTGCTGCCCCTGCCAGGCACTGCTGTCACTGCTGCCCTTGCCGGCCGCAGCGCTCGGTGCCGGGCGGGGCGGGCGAGCCTCAGGGGCGGCCCCGGCGGGCAGGGCGAGGAGCGGCGGTGCCTGCGGAGAACACCCTGTGGACATGAGGCAGCTCTCCTCCGGCTGCGACTCCTGGGTGCGGGCAGCTGCTGCTTCACAGCCGCCTTATCGTTTAATTTCACAGCTCCGAAAGGGCTTTGCGAGCTGATCGCAACGCCCCCTTGTGTCAGATCCAAGCTCTGCGAGATATTTAAGGGGCACCGGTACGCCCCCTGTTCAGCTCACCGCTGGCTTTCCACGGTTTGTGTTTCACCATCCAGCTGCTTTTGTGGCATCAGTGAACAAACAAACCACGTTTCTTTACGGGTCGTGCGGGGGATGGGTGGGTTACCCGGCCCCCATGGGGAGCCAGCGCTTGTACCGGCGCTCGCCACCCTCCCTGCCCGGCAGGCAATCTAGTCGGCAACTTCATCGAATCATAGATTGTTAAGGGGTTGACCTAGACCTTAAAGATCATGCGGTCCCAACCTCCCCTGCCATGGGCAGGGACATGTCCCACTAGACCAGGTCACTCAAGGCTTTATGCAACCTGGCTTTGAACGCTGCTTTGTTCTGGTTACAGCACCTTTCCCAAAGCCAGCAAGTGATGGAGTGAAACCAATGGGAGAGCAAGCTGATGGAGAAACCTAAATGCAGCTTGGCAGTTCTTTAAAAGTTTATTAGCTAAGCTGAAAGGCCACTTCTTCACTCATTTCAGAGAAGAAAGCAGCACTGGCTTTGAGCCCATTCTCCAGAGAAAGGCAGTCCCTGAAAAGCCACGTAGAGCAAACGGCAGAGAGAGCCAAGTGGGGAATGCTCCATCTGCTCAGAAATAACAAAGTGCAGAGTTATGGAACAGGAAGCCAAGGGTAGTCAGGCAGAAGGTGACTGTAGTGCTGAGGGTAAGAAAGAGAAATGCAGGGATGTTGGAGACTGAAACAGCCCCTTAAGGCCCTCCATGGCATGAACTGTATGGGCATAACCAGCAGCATTTAAATAAGGATTTTGTTTGGATTTGGAAAGCAGCAGGAAACTGAGACCAAAGTTCTCCTGGCGTACTGGTATCTAGGGAGGATATAAACACCAAGTATGGTTTAAGTCAGAAAGCCCCAATAATTGTCACCAAGAGATCTCCAGTTGACTTACCTTAACTCTAATCTGTGAGCAAAAGGAGATTCCACTGACGGGAATAATATCAACAGCAACAATTTCTGGAAAATTTTCTGTGCACCTAGTGGGGCAGCAGCCACGGGTCAGAGAATGGGGAGAGTGATGAGGAATTCCTGTTAAAGGGATTGAATATGGCTCAGGCCAGACAGCCTCATCCTAGCAAACAGATCTGCTTTAGTTGTTTGGTAGCAAAAAGGCCTTAGGAAGTATTTGTGTAGCACTATGTGACATGCTGAAGAAGCGCTGACCAAGTCTAATACTGGGAGCACAGAAAATCAGAAAACTGGAATTCAGAAGAAATTAGGATCTGGTCTAGGCCTACTAAGCACCTTTCTGCTGGTGATGAGAAGGTAGGCATGAAATCAATCCCCATGACTAGTGGAGCAGTAAATGAAGATCCACTTAAATGTGCCCAGCTCAGTTCTTGTTTGTGCCATGACTTTGAAGGCATGGGCCTTGACCAAGCACTGAGAGAGCTCAGCAAGATTTCCCTGACACCTGAATCTGGACAGCTGCTGCTTCACAGCCGCCTTTCATTTCAAAACTCCAAACGGACTTTGCAAGCTAATTGCAACATCCTTTTTATCAGAACCGAGCTTTGCAAAATACTTAAGCAGCCAGAGCATAAGTATGCACTTGTTCAGCTCACCGATGGCTTTCCACAGGTCACATTTCACCATCCAGTTGCTTTTGTGGCATCAGTGGCAAACAAATCACATTCGTTTACCCCGTCTGTATTTCCCATAAACCAATGCTACAGGCAGCAACACTTTTATGAAATGTATCGGTACATAAACACTTGTTCTACTTCCTGAAAGATTTTAATATAAGCAAGTAATATTTTTAAGATTTGGGATTCATGTTGGCCTTAGAAATTCATTGCTGGTTGTAGGATTGATTAGGAAATGCTATGCTCTGTGTCAGCCTTTCCTGAAAGCTGTGAGCAAAAGGCCAGAGAGTGTTTGAGCAACCTGATCTAGCTGAAGATGCCCCTACCATGGCAGGCGGGTCAGACTGGATGATCTTTAAAGGTCTCTTCCACCCCAAACCTTCCTGTGATTCTATGAAAGCTGTGCCTAGGAAGGTACAAGACAAACATTTAGGATTTAAAGTATGAGACCTATCTATGAGAAAGTGGGGCCTGGCTATGGATTTCATGGGGTGTGATGCCAAGTGATTCTGGAGATGCACCTCCTCTTCAGACTCCCACCTTTGGGTCGAGATCCCTATCCTACTGCAATCCCAAATTTCCCGAAGCTTCCATCCTCCTACCTCACATGTACAGCAGCACTGCTCCCTTCCAGAGAGATGAGGCAAGCAGCAGTGCTGTTCACCTCAGCCCTTCTCTTTCTTCTGCCCAAAGCATGTCCAGGATCTCTTCAAGTGCTGCCATCACCATTTGTATTGGCTCGGTATGCTTTGGGGTAGATTCATAGCATTCCTGAAGAAATGCTGGACAAAACAGTGTGGAGAATGCAGTTCTGGGCAAAATTTGCTCAGAGTTTCTACTTAAGGTTGAGAGGAACATGCAGAGGATCTTCAAAAGCATTCCATGAGCCCATTGCTTGTTCCCTGGCCAGCCACCGAGCCCTTGGAAACATGACTTCTTCAACTTCTGCTGAAGCAGAAACCAGAGGTTTTTACCATCTGGCCTGTGTGTCTGCCTGGTATAGAGGGCAAACATTCCCCCGAGGAGATGCCAGCCTCACTCGGCACTGCTGCCAGAGCCCGTGACTTTTGCACTGTCCCACAGTGCTCTCTGCACCCACCTGCCACAGTGGCTTGATGTTTCTGTTGAGCTGATTTAGGTTCATGTCCTGTCACATGCACCTGATTACATTTGCACCTCTTGTCATGCAAAGCCCAGAGTCAGGTTCTAAAATACTGTAGATAACTCAGTGTCTTTTACCTGACCCAGGAGGAAGGTGCTTTAGATAGAAGTCTTATTAATGATGCAGCTGCAGGGCTCAGTAAAGTGGAGGCACTTCAGATTTCATCTGAATAATTAAATCCCATCAATAGGACTTTCCAGGACCACTATTTAAAATTAATAACTTCAAATGCAATTCTGGTGTATAATGGAATCCACTGAAATAGGATTTGGTTTTTGGTTTTGTTTTTTTTTAATATAAAATGCTTTATAGCTTTCCTGGCAATTTTACAGCCACCTGCCTCTCAGCCCCAGCTGATGACAGCTAGAACAGGGGCTTGGGGTCATTTCTGAATATTTTTAACCTACAAAAAATATGAAATGGCACAAAACCCAGCATCCAGCATGCTGGTGCTCATGTTTAATGGACTTCTAATAGGCTGAAAGGAAGTGAGGAAGTCTTGTTTGGAAAAATATGTCTCCTCTGCCTAAGAAGATGGGAAGACAAGGGGTCATCTAGGTCTGCACCAAAAGCCAGTTCTCTTTTCTGAGAAATAAAATCTTTCTTTTCCACAGAAACTGGGTCACATACAACTGGCAGCTTTAACTGTGGTGAATGTGTTGAAGAAGCCAAGGGACAGCATCTCTAGTTGATACCATCACAGACTGCACACTCGAGAGGGTATAGTGGGATAAAATGTAAGGTTCATATGAAAGTACCACAGCTTTCCTCTTTGGACAACCTTCAAGCAGCACTGGGGACATCTTTGTGCCGCATGCTGTTCATCGTAGTTTTTCCAGCATTGCTTCATTCACCACCTTGAAGAGCTTATCAAAGTTTGATTAGTTCTGCATGACTTTTTTCCTCCTCTTCATTATGCTGGGGAGGCATTCAGTTCCTGCTGCTTTGCATATTTTGTGATAGGAGGGTTGACAGTCAAAACTTTCCCTACTTAGGGAAAAAACTTTCCCTGTCTGTCCTTGCGTGCTGCCAGAAAGACATGTTTAGTATAGGTCATGACCTCTAATAGCGGGCAAATGGAGATAAGCGCTTCTCTCCCTGGTGTTTTTCAGCTGGCTGAGCCAAACAGCTGCTTGAAGCATCCCTGGTAGAGGGGCTTGTCCAGTTTTCCTGTGGGAAATGAGGATAATGCAGTGGCAGCCTTTTTGGTCACATTTGCTGCAGATCATAGAGCAACTGGGAGCCTACCCTGGCCTTAGTGAGGATCTGCAGTGCCCCTGGGCACCATGGGGTGGATGGCCCCCAATAATGATACTGCTTTCTCTGTCTTTACCTGCACAAGGCACCGGAAAGAAGAACATTGGATGCAAATTTGAAACCAGGGTCAATTTTCCCTGCAGAGACCTCTTATTTCTAGAAACACTACCTTGATTTAAAAATGTGAGTTTGATAGCAGC